CCGGTACCATAACTGGTCCGCCACCACATTCTCACTGCTGCGTTGCTTCTTCACCCCATGCACAGGCCCCGCCCAACCCCTGCATGCTCGCTGCCTACTGGTATCGGCAAAAAGTAAGCTGTCCCTGAAAGTAATTTCTATGCTTATTTCAGAGCCCAAAAGAAAGTAAGACCGGGTCTTACTTTCGGGGAAACACTGTAGTTGGCACTGGAAGCCTGCTTTTGTGCTCATTATTGAACAAGGGATTGCTATTTCTCAGTTGTGACTTGCTTGTGGCATTGCTTTCCATGTGATGTTTGTTTGACCTTATCTCTCTAGTCCTCTTAAAGCTTACATGACCATCTTAGTCTGTAATTGAAACTGAATTTGGTGAAGGACACTGTTGTGCAGGTTCTGAGGTTTTGCTTGATAAAAAAATACAGGAAACCAGAAGTTGCCTTTAACCTTTACGTTTTTATTCAGCTGAACAAAGACGGGCTCCTCTAAAAGAGAGAAGCCCCGAATGACAAGAAATCCTTGTATTTATTGTTTCTGATTACATAAACAATCCACCCAGCAAAGCTGACACACATAAGATAAAGATTTCACCCAGTAAGTCTGGCACACTGTAGATAAGAAGGGAGAAAGCAAAAGTAGGTAAAAATGTTCCCTTTTGGGTGTTTCTCTAAAGATATCGTATGTTCCCGCGTGGGTTAGGACATTGGGTGTTTTCCTTGCTTCCTTTCATGACCCTGCATCCATGACTCTGCAAGTGCCCAAAGACAGCAGGGCCATCTGCACATATTCACAATTGATACTTCCTATGCTGTCTCCTAATTCCGGGTCAACAACACTGCATATATGGCACTGACTCGTTTGAATTGGGGATTGGTGGGTTATTGTATAATTGTTTTTCTTATTACAGTGTTGTTATATTTTTGTAATTTTTATTATTTGGGAAGATTTATTCTAATAGGTGGCATATACTGTAGATCCTAATAAAAAGGTAAACAAGCATAGCAACTGTAGCCTACATTTACTTACTATTTATTTAATAGTTCTGTATTTGCCAGATTGGTTCTGAAACCATCACTGTTGATATGTTCACAGCAAGCGGCTTCTTTGTGATGTGGTAATTGTTGCTGAGGACGTTGAAATTGAAGCCCACCGTATTGTCCTAGCAGCTTGCAGTCCATATTTCTGCGCAATGTTTACAGGTAACTTTGTTTTCCAAACAAATAACTATTGTTATTTTGGGAAGAGTAAAGAGAGAATGTTACTTGGTGATGTTACATGGGATGCTGTTATATGGATGTGTGATGAGAAATGGAGGCACGGCCTTTATTAAAAAGAAGGAAAAGGGGGCATAAAGTACATTGTGTACAGTATAAGCCAATATTCCTCATTTTTAGTGAATGTCTCATGGCTGTGGAGTTTCACATTGTGGATTTGATTGTGGAGATAGTGTAAGTTAAAATCAATATACTCTTCTTAGTGTAGGTTTTTTTGTCCTTTGCATAAAGGCTGTCCTTGGACTGGCTTTGATAGTAGAGCATAGGTGTCCAGCATTTTGGCTTGCCTGAGCTGCATTGACTGAAGAGGAATAAATAGTCCTTGACTTACAACAGTTTGTTTAGTGATTGTTCAAAGTTACAGTGGAACTGAAAAAAGTGACTTATGACTGGTTTTCACAGTTACGACCTTTGCAGAAGCCCCATCCATGATCATGTCAACAAAATTCAGATGCTTAGCAGCTGGTTCATATTTATGACAGTTGCAGTGTCCCAAGGTCATGGGATCACCTTTTGCGATCTGACAAGCACAGTCAATGGGGAAGCCAGATTGACTTAACAGCCGGGTTACTTACTAGTCAACTGCAGTGATCCACTTAACAACTGTGGCAAGAAAGGTTGTAAAATGGGGCAAAACTCACTTTAACAAATGTCTCACTTAACAACAGAAAAATTGGGCTCAATTGTGATTGTAAGTCAAGGACTACCTGTAGTTAATGTATATAAATCACATAATATTAAAAGTTTACAATCTTGTGGGACCACATTACTAGATGTCTAGGGCTACGGATTGGACAGACCTGTGGTAGAGAGTAAGATCCTTATTTGAGCACAAAGGTGACAACCGGTACTTATCCATTTAAAACAAACACAAGCTCTGTGATCTTTTGTCTCTCTTCCCTTCTTCATTTTTTTTTGCCTTACTTTATCACTTGTTTATGGCAATTGGGGTTATGATTTTTACCTCAAAAATAGAAAAAAATTGTTTGGAGTGTAATATCACCCTTGGGGTGAATCCTCTGCAGACCACAATTCACTAAGTATCTTACTTGTGTTACTATGTTTCATCAGCATAATATTTTACAATTAATAATGAGCTCTTTTGACTTTTTGATCACAGTCATTAAAAACCCATGGTTTCTTTTTGCTTGAGCAAATGAAGAAGTAGAAATGTACGTGTGCATGTGTATGACATTTGATAGATACAATCCAGGTATTTTTTAAAACATTTTACTTGTATGAAGTGATCTTTAAAACACTTAAGTATTTTTTAATGGCTGTAACATTGCAATTGTACAGACTGACTCGGTTGCCTGCAAAGCGCTAAATAAGAAACCAATCTCCATTTCTTCGTTGTTCGTTGTTCATGAATATTAGAAGTGTTAATTGATCTACTGCAAATTAATCATACCTGTCCTATAAATTGTTACAGTATTTTGCTATCAATGGGGGGGATGTATATGAAAGATTATATTTTTGCTATTTAAGAAATATTCTCACTGATAATGCTTGTAGTTCTTTCCAAACAGTATGTGCCAATTTTATAAGGCCTTTAAAAAAACCAAAAACCCTAGTTCCTCTTTTTTTGTGCATATGCCCATAAAGACTGTGCAGATTCAAAGGGAAAAAAGCTCTGAAGCATGTTTGGTGCTCTTGTTCAGTTTGTCAGCAAGTCTTTAAAGCAGGTGTGTCTTTTCCCTCCCGCCCATGTATATTCCCTATTGCCTTTTCTGAAATCTACTGTGTACCATCCTTTGAAAATGAAAAATCCTCCCCAGATAATTACATTAGATAATAAATTGCCAATCTTCAGTTGGTTTTTTCCCCCCAGATCAGGTAATGTTGCTAGATGTTGCCACATATTACAGGTGACATCAGCCATGGAACACAATAGTGAACAACAGTAAATAGTAAAATAGTAAAATATCCAAACTAGAAAAAGTGTTTTCTCCCTTTAGGGTTAAAAAAATTGAAATAATATGGAGGATTCTCTTAATATGAATTATGATAAAGATTAATGAGTTAACTGAAGTATATATTATTCCCCACAGCAAAGAGAAGCAGAGATGGTCAAATTGATTCTTTTATCTAAAGAAGAGAATATATCTAACCTTATTTCTATTTTAAAGTTGCTTCCGGATTTTGTGCTTGCAATGAAAAAAAAATGAAACTTTGATTTTGTTTTTGCTAATTAGACAGGTTTATTATTATAGAAATGGCTTGTACATACTGTTGTGTAAAAGTAAAAGTTGCAGTTGTAAACTTATCTTCTACTGTGCTAAAGAGAGTCAGAAGTTGGTGCCTTTTCCTTTTCTCTCTTTACACCATTTCCCCCCTCCCCCTCTTCCTAGTTTTCTATTACTTTTTTTGAATTTCTCTTTGTATTTTATATTTTGATAAACGAATAAACTATTACTAAAAAAATAGCGAACAACAGGGATAGTTTCTGTGCTGAAATGCTTTGCTGTGACAAAGTACTGTATGATAATGCAGATTATTCAACTGCATGGGCAAATATTTTACTACTTAGTGAAAGATTTGCTACATATCTGAATGTGTGACAGAAAAAGAATAAAGTTCACACATCATATTTAAGTGATTTGGTAGAATATTTGCTGAGTAAATCCATTGCCAATGAATGATAGGCTACTAGAATTATGTTGTCCTCCATGATTAAAACTCACTAGTGATAAATCCAAAGGAATTATCTACTGTCAGGAATGCAGGGATTTGTCCTCATTTTTAGTAATAGGCAGAATCACTTTTTGTGAAGAAAAGGCAAGAAAATATTTTTCTCCTTCCCAGGAACATCAAGCAGAAATATATTTGGGAGAAAAAGGAAATAATTTAAGTAATGGATAAGTGTCCTGTCTTCTTTTTCAAGTCAGTTAAATTTGAGATGAGGACTGTAAATAATAAAACTCTTCATTTATGAAACAGAAATTACAAAACTTGGCAATGTTCACATATAGCAATAAGAATGTATAATAGAAAGATGAAGTTTGGATTTTCAGATATAATCATACTCAGTGTTTTTTTTTCTAAAAAAAAAAAAGTGCTGGAACTCACACACGTCATACTACCCGCCTTGCCTACCCTACAAGGTTCCATCCAAAAAAGGTGCCGGAACTTCGTTCTGGGCGTTCTATGAGAAAAAAAGCCCTGATCATACTATCTTCAGTCCCCCCCCCCTAATTTTCCCCCTAATTAAAACCCATCTCCAAAGATATATGGAATATATCCCCAAATGCTGTATTCTTGTCCACTCTGGTTTTACTCAGACTATCTATTCTGAGGTTTGGCTATAAAGGAATACAGAAACTGAAGAACTTTTCACTATGACAGTCACAATCATTGTGTTCTTAATCAGAGGATAAGCACAGTTACCTAGTTTTGTAGGCATAAAAATACTCAATTTATCATTTTAGAAAATAATCAAAAACATGTTGGTTTTGGCTTTTTGTTTTTGTACAAAATTATGTAGAACACTACAGATTGTAAGAGATGGAAGGGACTTGGGAGATTGTCTAGTCCTAACAACTGACCATTCCATCATCCTCAAAACAATAGGTCCCTAATAATTGGTTCAAAAAGAGATTTGTTCACTTTCCCAAATGTATTTTTGGCTATGCAAAAGGTTGTTTTTAAAATAAAAGGGAACCTAATGGCAACTCTCCCAGCTCAGACTCGTGACTGCCGCTTAAAATAATTTCTAAAATTGCATTTCAGGAGATATGACGGAAAGCAAAGCAAAGAAGATAGAGATCAAAGATGTTGATGGACTAACCTTAAGCAAGCTAATTGATTATATCTACACAGCAGAGGTAGAGGTCACAGAAGAGAATGTCCAGGTGAGGGGAAGCTGGGAAAGAACCTCTTGGTTCCTCTGTGGCATTGGCAGATCATTGAAGCTTCCTGGCCTGCAAATTATTTTTCAATCGGCTGTAGAATACTTTCCATCTTACAAGGCTTTTGATGATGATTTTCTGCTGGTTCTTAATTGTATTATTTAATTAAAACAAACCAATGTATCATATTTCCTCGAGTATGAAATATGACAATGTAAGAAAACAGTTAAATGTTTAAAAGTATATAAATTTGAAATCTTAAGAAATAGAGCCATTTTAAGCATCCATATTCAATATAACTATGCGAAATAGCAGGAATCTTAAGAGGTAATATATTTTCAATCGTACTGATATAAGTAAAACACAGAGATTAATTTTGAACAAGCAGTATTTATCGATAGCTAGGATTGAAATGAGGGTCCTTGGTGCACTCTGAACTTGGTTGTTTTCTTGCAGATGTTTCATTGCCCAAACTAGGTAACTTCATCAGAGAGTACCAAGGACGCCTCAAGCAACATTTAAAGAATGTTTGAGTCCTCTTTGTTTACTCTTGAAAAAAAACTCCTTCAGCCAGTGGTGTTTCTTGTGTTGTTCAAATCATTGATCTGAATACATGTTGCAGGATCCAATTTGGGTTGGTCAACGGCCCCAGAGGACCAGATTGGATCCTGCAACATTATGCTGGGACACGTATATTCACCTTCATTCCTGAATATATGTGTATTTTAGTTTTGTAAAATTTTGCATTAGAAAATACTATGTGTAAATTATTGGGAACGGTGGTCAACAAACCTATGGTAGAATTTATTAGCAGATATACTTATTATATTTTGTTTCTTCTCATTATTTTCTTGCTGTTAGTACCATTTACAGCATTATCTTGTACACATCTCAGTCAAAAGATCCACTAATCACAGGAGGGTTTATCAAAAGTAGAGAAAAAGGATTATTGCTTTTTTTATGTAAGTCACTTTGGAAAGTTTTCATTTTTTAATGTTAGCTGTAAAAAAATAGTAAAAGTACAGAATACGTTTTGGGTTGAAATTTAAAATGAACTATTGTCATTTTATTTATTATACTCATGTGTGCATGAATGTTCACACACAAAATTGGTACTGTCTTTTCGAAATTGAGCATCTCTGAAGAGATTAAAAATACAGAATGTACACTTGGAACACTACATTTGACATGACAATGAAAATACAATAGCTTGGTCTAGTGTGTTATTTGTTGTTTCAGTTCAGGCAGAGTTTAATGAGGATAATGAAAGTTGAGATCTAAAGATTTTAAATGAAATTTACAGTCCATTGCAGTGTGAGTTTGGATGCTCAAAGGTTAGCATTCAGTTCATATTTATCTGTTTTTGTACATCCCAACTCCTGGTGTTACATTCTAGTTGAGATCACTTTGAGGCCCTCTCCAGGTATTATAAAATAGGAAATATGGATATGAACATGGTAACAACCCATCTCCAGCTCTTCCTGATCGCTTGAATTGTCAGGGAAAATCTGCATTGAGCTGTAACTATCTTCACCTTCTCGGAGTCATTATTCTCCAGAGAGTCAGGAATTTGCAGCTTAGGGTTTCCAGTTCCATGGAAAACGATGAACAAGAGATGAAACACTTTTAAACTTTTCCTCTCAGTCTGAGAAGATCTGTGAAGGGGTTTCTAAAGGATAGAGCAGGGGTCCCCAACCCCCGGTCCGTGACCTTTACCGGGCCACGGCATGCCAGCAACTGGGCCGCACAAACAAGAAAAGCCCCATCTCTGGGATGCAGGTAGCACACAAAACCACGCCCCCTCCGGTCCATGGAAAAACTTCTCTCCACGGAACCGGTCCCTGGTGCCCAAAAGGTTGATGACCTCTGGGATAGAATCTTGAGAGTCCAATTTGCCAATTTTGAGAGTCTAGTTTGCCAATTTTGAAAGTGCTGGCTCTTGTTCTATGATATTCCAATAATTTAACCATTGAAATACAACATAGATGTGGATGTTCACAACATAGATGTGGATGTTCCCCTTCCTGGGAAGCATGCTGTTAATTATCTTTTCATTTTGTCCTTCATTGTTTGAGAATATTAAAATCCTGAAAAACTGATGTTAGCTAAAAAAAAACAATTATTATTAGTTTCTCTTTACTAGGCGAGGGCTAAGCTATTCTAAGAATCAAGGTATTGAGGCCTAGAGACTGATTGTTTAATTTTATTGATGCCTGTTGGGGTTAGTGCTCTCTAAAAAAGTTACTGATTTGTGATATTCCCGTGTGATCCAGCTGGGTTGGATTGTTCTTGCTGGAATAATAGAATGAATGCACCTCGGGGCATACTGCAATTTTATTGTTCTGTTTGGCTGAAGTATGTTGAAGAAGTAGAGAAATATAGTTCTTTTCTTGCTCAGGTGTGTTGTAGTTTGGTTAGTCTTTAATACTTTTTAGAATTGTGTTTCAATGTGGTATTTTTTGGAGGACCTAACATGGGACTTCAATTGTTAATTGCTTTTCTTTTTCGAATTTCAGGTTTTACTGCCAGCTGCCAGCTTGTTACAGCTGATGGATGTTCGACAGAACTGTTGTGACTTTCTTCAGTCTCAGCTCCACCCCACAAATTGCCTTGGAATTCGCGCCTTTGCAGATGTGCACACCTGCACAGAATTATTGCAACAGGCCAATGCCTATGCAGGTGATTGTAACAACCTCATGATGTTCCTGGTTTTAAAATATGAAAATATTGACACCTTGAATACTAGTACTCATCCTTCAATATAAAACAAAACAAAGGGGGGGGGGGGAGAACTAATTTGCAGCTTAAGCTTGTAGGTGATCCTCTTGCATAATAAGAGAACTTTTAATATATAAAATGCTAATTCTAACCAGTAAACTTCAACTAAATATTTATATATTTTCATTTTTAATGTATATTTTATTATTTTTTTACAGTAACAGTCTTTAGTATTTAATAAGCAACACATTGTCTGGGTTTATGTGTTTAACATTAATAGCAATACAGTTTCCATTCCTACCCTTTATTTCATTTTTCTAACCATTTATAAAATTTTTCCCATGTTTGAAAGTATTCTGAATCTTGCTTCCCCTTCATTTTCAGATGGTATTTCTTCATTTTTCCAGTATTGAGCAAATATAATTCTCACTGCTGTTAATATATGTAATATTAAGTATACACATTTCTTATCATAATTTTCTGAAATTATGCCTAAAAAATAATTCTGGTTTATAGTCTACATGTGCTCCTATCATCTTTTCTAGCCACCTATATATTTTTGACCAATAGTTCTTTGCTTTGGGGCATGTCCACCAAAGATGCTAATATGTGCTTGGATTTTGTCTGCATTTCCAACAATTGCTAGACACATTTTTAAACATTTTTGCTAATCTTGCAGGTGGTAATATATTTATATATTTTCAGTTGAATTTTACCGGTTAGAATTAGCATTTTATATAATCTAAATCCCTCAAGTAGAGGAAGGCAGCATGGCATCTCATAGATATTTCAGGATGAATTTTCATAATTCTTGAATAATGATCATGTTGGATGAAGTATATCAAAAGTTGTAGTTTGGAGGTCAGTATGTTTCATACTCTTAAGTTAGAACAGCCACCCCAACCTAGGTGTCCTTCAGAAGAATGGATTTCAGCTCTCCAAATTCCTTGCCTACATGATCTTCATGTCTGGAGGGACAAACATTGGAAAAAGCCGCCATTAAGATACTATCTCATTTAAATATACATCTGGTACTTTAAATACACCTTTTCATCCTAGATGTTCCAAACAGACATGAGAATTACAAAATACTTTCAACTTACAAGCAGGCAATTTTACAGAATTTTTTACAAAAAAAATTATACCGATGTTTTGAAATGGCAGTGTTGAGTAAAATGACCATTGCATATTTAAGATATACTGAAACAACAATCAGCCTTATCCTTCCTAATAGTAATTGTCTGCTCCCTAGTCAACTCTAAGTTAATACATCATTAACTGGAAAAGGATATGGGGGAAGTTAGAAAAAAGATACGTGGCTAGGTAGAACGTTGAGGTTCTACTTGGGTGCATGTCTTTAAAAGTCAAAGAACATTTTATCTTTTGAGCAGAAGGTTGTGGAGTCAAGTTTGCATAGGAAAGAAACACCATGATGGGTTTTTAGGGAAAAACCAGAGAATGTTAAGAGAGCTATGGAGGAAAACAAATTTATAGTCAGGTTCTAATGTAAGATTAGAACCATTTGGAAGAAGAAAAGTACACAAAATATAAAGAAAGAGAAGTAACAGAAAGACCAGATGTAAGTAGAGAGAGCAAGCTACAATGAAGAGCTTTTGAGTTGAAGGAGTTACAAAAAAGAGGTTTTTATCATGTGTAATTGGTTGTTTGAATAGAAGGAGTATTAGGAAAATATAAGGTCAGGTTGAAGGACATGTTTTTAGTGAAAATGTACTGTTCTCTTTCTGCTGCAAGCTATTTCAGAATTGAGAAGGTAGTGGGAGAATAGGGAGGGGAAGTGTTTTTGAGCCATTAGGGTGCCTCTTAGTTGAACTTACAACTCTTGAAGCCAACTGGTAGCCTGCTATTGGCCTGTTATATGATTAAAATGTAGTATACAGCTATAACATTAAAGACTTTGTACTCTATTCGCTGGAAGTGAATATACAGTATTTGAGAGAAGTTGTAAAAATGTAGTCTTGTCCAATTTCCAATTGGCAGGTTTCTGATATGGGGAGTACTTAAACCACATGGTCTTGTTTCATGCTCTCAGAAGGATAAACAATTATAGAAAGTTATGGGTAAAATAGCCAAGAATACAGTAGTGAATCTTAAAATATCCTCCCACTATTGTTATTTATAGGCTCTGAAGTCAAATACTTCAACAGATCTGCAGAAAATGCCTGACCACTGAAGCAAATTGTTTTTCTCCAGAGATTTCAGATCTATTCCCTAGTCCCATTGTAGCCTTCGTCATAATTGTCCTTACCATGAAGTGCCTTACTGGATGGAGCCTTTCCTAAAGGAATGGAAGTGGTGTCCATATCAACGATATTCTTTCTTGATAGTAATAGCAATAGCACTTAGACTTATATACCCCTTTACAGTCCTCTCTAAGCAGTTTATAGAGTCAGCGTATTGCCCCCATGTCCTCATTTTATCGACCTTGGAAGGATGGAAGGCTGAGTCAGTCAGGAACGAACTGCCAAACTGCAGGCAGCTGGCAGTCAGCAGAAGTAACCTGCAGTACTGCATTTTAACCACTGCGCTACCATGGCTTATGATGATGATGATGATGATGATGATGATGATGATGATGATGATGATGATGATGATGATAACACAGTAGGATAATAGGATGATTCTATATAGCTGCAGCTCTATTTCTATCCTCCTTGTCCAAATAAACTGGACTTGACTGGTAAATAGGACATTTTAAGTGTGAATCAAATTAATTTGCAAATCCAGATACAAATCTTTTCTGCATGTTTTTAATTAATGAAATGCAGCAGGCATGTGCTAAGGGGACAGATGCTCTGACATAATGGTATCTGGCTAAACTAACAGAAAATAGAGACAATTTTCATATGCCAGGATATCTTGAAGACTGACTAAAAAGAGGGATTTTTGAAACATGACAGATAGGGCTAGGGCGGCAAACATGGATGCATTCTGTGATATGTGTAGAAAAGAAAAGGCGTATTTCAGGCTTGGAGGAATTAGGAAAGGAAGAATTGAAAATGAAACAACTCATACAGGCATCTCTTATTAGCACAATTTATCTGCACTTTTGTATTGACATGGTCACTAAACAAACCAGATCTAAAGGTTTTGCATATCTGCAATGTTGATCTTGTATTTTGTTCCTTTACTTAAGTGCAGACAGCCTTTTTCACGTGCATAAAATACATTTTTTAAGGTCTTGTTACTGATGTAATGAAACAAGAACAGAAGCCCTATTGATAAGCAGTTCAACCAATGTACCACTTCATAATATATCTTTGGTGATACTGCACTTAGAGTACGCATACAGGTATTCATCAAACCTCGGCTAATTTGAAAGCCGGGAAAGATATAAACAAGGGCAGTCAATATGATTATGGGGCTAGAGCAGCAGTCTTATGAAAAAAGCTACAGTGTTTAGATTGGTTAGCTTGCAGCAAAGGAAGTTAAAAGGAGACTTGTTAAAGTAGTGTTTACAACCTGAGCAAATCCAGATCTGTAGACTTTCAACTCTCAGAATTCCCTAGCCAGCAAGGTCATTGCAGAGAATTCTGGGAGTTGTTCACATATCTGAACTTTAGCTAGGCTGACAGAACTGGGGGTCATTTAATATAGTAAGATTCAACCTAAGTGGAGAGATTTAGGACCTGTAAAGAAAGCACTTGCTTAATTGCACCAGCAATAGCACCTTATTATACCACTTCATAGTGCTTTACAGCCCTCTAGGCGGTTTACAGAGTCAGCATATTGCCCCCAAACAACCTGGGTCCTCATTTTACCAACCTCGGAAGGACGGAAGGCTGAGTCAACCTCGAGCCGGTGAGAATCGAACTCCTGGCAGTGGGAATGCAGAGTCAGTCTGCAAATATACTACACTCTAACCCCTGTGCCACCACTGCTCCTTAAACCTTGGGACCGGTGACGATGGCTGTCAGTTTGGGTGCCTGTAAGGCAGTCCTTGACTTACAACCATAATTGAGACCAGAATCTCTATCGTTAAGCCAGGCGGTTGTTAAGTGAGTAGTGTCCATGTTTGCAAAGTACCAATCACTGTAGTTGTTAACCATGCTGCTGTTTAAGCAAATCCAATTTTCCCCATTGACTTTGCTTGTTGGAAGCTGGTTGGGAAGGTTGCAGATGGTGATCCTAGGATCCTGCAAGGGTTGCAAATATATGCCAGTTGCGAAGCATTTGAATTTTGATCACATCACTGGTGGGGGTGCTATGTCACTTGTAAGAGAGAGAACTGGTTGTAAGTCTTTTACAGGGCTGTAACTTTGAAGGATCACCAAATGAATGATTGTAAGTTGAGGGCTACCTGTAAAAGATTCCAGAGAAATTATGGGTTGTCATGGTCAACAAAGGTGTTTGTTATAACTGGCCTGCCTTGAAAATCAGCTGCTAAATGAAACCTGTTGCTCTCTTATCCACATTTCTGAACTTCTTGAACGTAGGACGTTCAGAGCTTTGCTTACTTTCTTATATCTGGGACAAATAATTACCTTTAAATGTTTGATTTTTTTTAGAACCATTTAATCTTTAACCAGACCAGCACTGAACAACGTTTAATTTAAATCTGGTTTAAGTGCAAGAACTGTTCTTGAGGTTTTTGTTGCCCTTCATGAAGAACATATTACTTTAACATCCCCCTGTGAAATGTTAATGAAAATATTCCAGAAATGCATTCAAGATTCCTTTGGCTATACATTAACTGTGTACATTGAAATAATTTGCATTTTAAAGCAGCAGAAAGCAACCAATGAGCTGATTGAAAACCTTCTTTGAGAAATGCCTAAAGCCGATAACTTGTGTTAACACTATGATTTATTTGATTTTGGTTTAGTGTGTTGTGTGGTCTATAGTCTAGTTACCACTAGAGTGTAAACGTTTGCCTTTATACAGTTTTAAATATTTCTTCAGAACGTTATATTCTCATTTTAAATATTGCTTCCTATAATATTGAATAAGTGGGATAGTTCATTATAATTATTAAAGTTGGGTTGAGATTTGTGTTCTCAAGAGCCACCTGCTGGCAAACAGAAGTGTTTACAAAGCCACTTTAAAGAAATACTCAGTAATAACACTCAGAGCTGATACTGTAAATGAAAAGAGCTGAAGGTAATATCTGTATTGCAATCATTCTCTGTTTATATATGTATTAATATGATAGCAACAACTTCATTATCACATTGCTTTTCATCTTGAAAAACAAGCTAGATCCCAATCTATTATGAAGTACTTGTCTGAAGAGAAATTCAGTTTCTTTGTGCAGTTTTTCACACTAGTATCAGAAGCTGTCTTTCTTGGATCTGCCCTACATTATTCTACCAATGTACAGTTATTATTTTATATGTGTAAACAGTATTTACAATTATAGGCTTTATAGGCTGTTTCGAGCCAAGCACTTCCCAAATGTGCTGGACAACAGTTCTGTTACCTACAGCAGGGGTCTTCAAACTTGGCAAGTTTAAGACTTGTGGACTTCAACTCCCAGAATTCCTCAGCCAGCCAGGGTCCACAATGTACAACCTGTTACAGTCAATGTAACAGGTTGTACATTGGTTGACAGATGCTTCCTGCAGGGTTTCAGTTAGATGTTCCTTCTTGTTGTTTTCTGTACATGATTGAACCTGAAACCCCTTGCATGTCAAGCATGTTCTAAGCTGTGGCTCTTCTGCAGTACGACTGTGAAGTTCAGAGTTTCACACACTCATAGCAGCAGGCTATATATACATTTCCTGATGTGATAGTGGAACTCGTTTTCCTTTATTGGTGTCACTCCTCAGCATCAATCAGTCTGTTGTTCTTTATGCCCTCCAATGCCATTGTTCAGCTATTGTTGCTAGTCCTTTGGGTTGAGTGAAAACTTGGATTTTCATTATGATCTTCCTTTTCTTAATTTCCAATTCTTTGGAACAGAGCAGCATTTTCCTGAAGTGATGCTTGGCGAAGAATTTCTTAGCTTAAGCTTGGACCAAGTTTGCAGCTTGATATCAAGTGACAAGCTCACAGTGTCATCAGAGGAAAAGGTATTCTTGATTTGTGTCTTCTGTATTTATGAAACTAGAGCAAAACCTGCTTCACTATGTAAGACAGAAGAGAAAGATCTTTCAGAGAAATGACAGCTTTCGCTGGCTGTCACATGGATATGAAATAAATGCTCTTCTTTGAGAAGAGCCTCCCCTAAAGTTTGCAAGGCACAGATATGCTGCCATAAGGAGCAATGCTTCCATAGGTATTTGGATCTCAAGCTAATGAGGACTTTAAAGATTGGCACAATTGTGTTCCAAAGCAGAGATCCTCAACCTTTTGGGCACCAGGGACCAGTTATGTGGAGAGAGATTTTTCCGTGGACTGGAGGGGGCGTGGTTTTGTGTGTTGCCAGCATCCCACAGATGGGGCTTTGCTTGTTTGTGAGGCCCGGTTGCTGGCATGCCGCAGCCCAGTACCGGTCCACGGACCGGAGGTTGGGGACCCCTGTTCTAAAATGTCTGCATGGTGCTGTCCAGAACTAAGACGGAAGTGGAATAAACTCCAGCAGGCTTTGCAATTCTCTAACCTAAAAAAATTCAATGTACCTAAAAGCAGAAGACTTCTATGATCAGGAAAGGGATAGATCAAAATGGTCACTAATGAAGCTGAAAGGATGAGGAGGCATACAGATCAAGACTCACAATTTAAAACATTGCTAAATGAGTATTTGATTAACCTTTTGTAGAAAGTATAACAAGCTGGATGGAATGCAATTAGTGCCACTTGCAATTTAATGTCCCATCTCTAATTTACACTGGCTGAAGGATTCGGTTTTTTAAGCAGCACAAGCGTACAAATGTGCACAAGAGCCATCGGCTCTTTAATCTGGACATCTCATTGGTGACTTCTTCTTACTGCACTTTCATTAATTGAAGCTCCTTTTTTCATCAACATTCTTTCTGATCCTGTCAGATAGTATTTAGGTTTCCAGCCTGGAAGTTCCCTGTCAGGCATAACTCCTGTACTGAAAGAAATTTGCAGTTGCTGGTGATTGGATGATTTCAAAACAAAACATACAAGATTTGGGGTGTACAGTTGTTATAGTTATGTGACCACATTTGCAACCTAAACTGTATTTGATTTTCTTTCCCTGACTCTCAAAATCTATTCTAAACTAAAAAGTAAAATTTTTAGTGGTATACATATTTGTTCATTTCATAGAACTTCTGACTTTTTTCCCCAAGTCTTATTCTGTTACCATCTTCTGCCTTTAAAAAAATGTTTAACTAGTTTCTGCAGACTTACTATTACATAACTTATGAAATCACTGCTTTCAAATTTGGATTTTGTAATGACAAATTATGTCCCCAAACAACTTTTGCTGTTTGCAGGTCTTTGAAGCTGTCATTTCGTGGATAAATTATGACAAAGAATCTCGCTTGGAACACATGGCAAAGCTGATGGAGCATGTTCGCCTTCCTCTCTTGCCCAGAGATTACCTTGTACAGGTTAGTAGTCATCAGATCTTTGCACAGTTAAAAATAATACAAGCCCCAGATGCTTCTTTATGACTTGACATCCATTCATTTATCTCCCTTAGGAATCATAATCTTTGCAGCCTTCTTGCTAGGTGAGCCCAATGCTTTTTTCACATGAAAAACTCAGTTGGATGGAACAGGGATTACATTTATCTACAATAAATGATGCAAGAAAGGCTGCCATTTTATATTCTAATGACACATGAATTTGGAATTTTTAAAACCAACTTCACATTGTATAGGTGTTTTTAGTGGTGTAATAGATAGAATTATTTATTGGCCAAGTGTGGTTGGACACACAAGGAATTTGTCTCTGGTGCATATGCTCTCAGTGTACATACAAGCCATAGTGATAAATCATGATCCTAATCAACATAAAAATACATTCATCATAAATCATAAGATACAACACCATCATAAATAACAAGATGCAACACTTAGTGATAGTCATAGGATACTAGCTAAGCAAACAACATAAATCATACTAGGATACTAAATAAACAATATAAATCATAAGATACAAGCAACAAAGTTATAGTCATAAGAAGATAAGGATAGGTAATAGGAAAGATAAGGAGAATAATAATAATACAGCTTTACTAAGTAGTTTGACAGTGTTGTAGTTGTTTAGCAGAGTGACAGCATTGGAGAAAAAACTCCTTGTGTCTAGTTGTTTTGGTGTGCAATGCCCTATAACTCAAATACCTCTATGCATGTATGAATGTACAATATGTTACTATTGTTCTTGCTGCTGTTAGTTGCTTTTCAGAGAAATTTTTTTTCCATGGCAATATATAGAATAAGATAATACAGATTTCAATGTTAATAAAGAGCAAGTTAATCTTTTCCCAAAATTTGAAACACCAAGCAAATGCTTTTACAAAAATTAAGATTATAGATTACAAATTAAACTTTTATATCTTTATAAAGACCTGTAGAGGTACTGTTTGAGAAACTTCCAATATAGGAGCACTGTAAAAAAAAAAATCCTTTCCCTTGTGCCTGCTATCTGGTTGCAGTTTACAATTTATGTAAATAGTCTTTGCACAGTTTATTTAGGTAGTCTTTTGAAGATAATTCAAATATTTCCTACCGTACATCTATCTCCAAAAACTCTTGTGTATCCCATTTCAGTGTTTGCCACCCTTAACAACTTTTAAGATGTATGGATGTCAACTCCTAGAATTCCCCTGGCCTGTGAAGTCCACACATCTTAAAAGTTGTTGAGGTTGGCAAACACTTAATGAAATAAGACTAGCACAATTTCATGCATAGAATATCCATCAGTAATAACTTGAAAATAGAAGTAGTATTGGAAGGAATGAAACATGGGAATCACTTAATGAACTACATGTTGAATAGGCAAAATGGCCTATAGCTTCATACATCTAAATCTTTCAGAACAGATCCAGCAAACGTCTCTTGGCACATATTTTTTAATGTTTACCACCTATGTTCATCAGTGAAATGCAGCCACTGCACTAACCTGTTTTGACATTTAGACAGTTGAAGAAGAAGCTTTAATCAAGAATAATAATACATGTAAAGACTTCCTCATTGAAGCCATGAAATATCACTTACTTCCTCTGGATCAGAGACAGCTGATAAAAAATCCTAGAACCAAACCAAGGACACCAGTCAGTCTGCCAAAGGTAAACAATCCTACCTTGTTGAAAATGGTAAATTTTTAGTCAAGAATTCTAGTATATACAACAAACACTGGCACTGATTTCAGCCCAAGCATAAAAATATGTTGGCATTGTATTCCACTAATTAACACTTTTCCTATTCAAATGTTTTTCTATTTAGTATTGATTCGGTCTTAAATTACCCTAAGGAATTTAGGATATATTTACTCTAGTATAGAATATGTACAGTGCAAAGAAAGCACAAAGGGGAGGATTACATATAGCCTTCCTGTAGATCAGGGGTGTCAAACTGCTGGCCCGTGGGCCAGACGTGTCACGAAACCGCGCCCACCCCTTTTTCCTGGCAATGGGGAAAAAGCTTCGATACGTCGTGCGATGTCACGTGGTGTCGTGAGTTTGACATGCCTGCTGTAGACGTTAAATGTTGGCATGTATTTGGGTGACCATGAATATCAGTTCAGATTAGCCAATTTGTGGACGAACAGTTTAGTTTTGGGCAAATGTGAGTTTTGGATCTTTTTTAGATAGGTGTATTATTTATTTATTTGATTTCTATAGTGCCTATCTTAACAAGTGACTTACATAAGAATGCAAACAAATATTAAACATAGATTTAAAATGTGGAAATATTGCTTTTTATTAGCATGATTTCATTCTGACTTTTTTTCACATTCTAAGTTCCTCTGTGTTAAAAGTACTCTCTTCAGATGTTAATCTCCATGGCCAGGCATTCATAGAATTGTCATATGTTTCCGGGCTGTTAATAAAAACCTGTGTTTTGGATTCTAAATTACTGATCATTTTAAAAGCAATATAGTTTATTAAGTCAAAGCGCAGAGGCCTTAATCCAAAGATAACAGCAGCAACTTTCTGGCTGTACTTTTAATTTTAATATTTGGCAGATGTCAAAGTCCTATGCTTCTATTATAAAAGATTTTTTCTGGAGCAATTATTTTTTACTCCGTTTAATGCACTCAGCTATTTTGGGAGACAAAGCAGTTTAAGAATCCTATTTTTTAATGTGTATTTCTATTGAAAAGGCCATGATTCTGTGAGGATTTTTTTTTTTTACAATAATTACCTTTTCTTTCTCACCAAGATAATGATTGTAGTGGGTGGGCAGGCACCAAAAGCCATTCGAAGTGTAGAGTGTTATGACTTTGAGGAGGAGCGATGGGATCAGATTGCTGAACTTCCCTCTCGGAGATGCAGAGCGGGTAAGTTTTTTTTCTTTATGATGGTCTCAATCACTATTTAAATATTATTTGTTCCATTATTTATATATTCTGCCACCTATAGGTAGTTATGTAATATATCCGTCACCTTTCTGCTTTTCTGAGTAAGCAGTATTATGCAAAGTACAGAAAATAGTAAATTTTGTAAGGAAAGAAATTGGACACAAGACAATAAGAAACAGAGTTTATTCATTCTTTCCTGCAACTGAACCACTTTAACCTAATTAATTTTTTGTGGTTACTCACTTTTATACTTAGTCTGCCTTCAATCAATGTTGTTTTACACACAGACTTCTTAAATAACCAATTCTCAGTGCATTTAACTTCTGTGTTGTTCGTGACACATCTAGCCATTGTTTCTTTATAACAAAACAATTTGCTCTTACAGATAGCAATTATTGGTTTTATCAACCATCTGCATAGTACTTACACCTTCCCACTAGCATTTACACATCTTAAAATGTCTCTATCCATTTCCCCATAATTAGCATGCAAGGTACTCAGATTCATTTACTTACTGTAATGTTTTATTTTTGACTTCATGTTCTCTGTTGAGCTATCTTGACATTTAGTATCTTAATTTTTGAGATTTATCAGTCAGCCCTAGAGTGGAGGGAAGCGTCTCTGTTCTGGAGTTCAAAATCGTCCATTCAAAATCGTCCGTGGCTGAAAATCCTCCTTGGATTTCAGTAGGGAGTTATTTCAGTCAGCCCCAGAGTCAAGGGGCTTCCTTGTTATCTCTGGGGGCTGGCTGAAAAAGCTGCTCATGGAGTCCAGGCTTCTTATCACATCCACCTTTAATAGTTTCATTTTACAAAAAGTCAAGTTGTAAAGCCAGGCTCAGAGGTTCCAGACCATTGTTAAAAAATAAAACAAGTGGTGCTTTATCTATTTATTCAAAGAATGTACGTGACTACTCACCTTATTAACCAAATAACTTTGGACAAGTAACAAGTTCATAAATCATACATTATGTGAAACAATACAAAGCAATAGCAATAGCACTTAGACTTATATACGGCTTCACATGCTTTACAGCCCTCTCTAAGCAGTTTAGAGAATCAGCTTATTGCCCCCAACAATCTGGGTCCTCGTTTTACCGACCTCGGAAGGATGGAAAGCTGAGTCAACCTTGAGTCCTGTCAGGATCGAACTCCAGGCTGTGGGTAGACTTTGCCTGCAATACTGCATTCTAACCACTGTGCCACCAGGGCTTGTTAACATAATTACACAATTAAAAATAACCTTATAGCACAGAACACAACAAAACACATACCAGGTTTCACTAACCTCCTGGCCTCAGTGCCCGAAGGAAAGCCAGATCTTCAGGACCGTCCAGACTTTGGTGGAAGGCAGTTCCATAGGATGGGTGCTTTGACAGAGAAGACAAGCCATTTGGGTCCCACTGGATGACATTGCTTCCTAGAATGGGCACTGACCCTGCCAGGTCTGATGGGACAGGCCGAAACCAGGGAAAAGAGAGATCTTGCAAGTAACCTTCCCCTGAGCCATGCAGGTCATTCAAGGTGAGAACCAGCATTTTGAATTGCACTTGGGACCAGTGCAGCTCATTAGCAGTGGTATTAGGTGGGCATATCCACATACTCCCGTGTTAAGCCCCAGATTGTACATGCTGCTGCATTCTGGACTAGTCCTGGATTATCACCTATTTGGTGAGGATATGCTTTCCAAACTTGCCTGCTGCTCCCCCTCCCCCCCAATTTTGGGAACCACTGTAATGAACATTAATAATAATTAGAATTTAATTAAGTTCTACCAACAAGTTCTCTAAATACATTACAGCAGCTGCTAAAAGCTATTTAACACACTGCGCTAAAATCTTGCTGAGCATAACCAACAAATATGCAATTGCAGACGCTTGTACATTATTCAAGGAAAATTCATCAGAATTTACAGGTGCTTGTTGAGAGTACTTGGGGTCCAGTCTAGATTCTTATTTGTATAATATTTGAAATAACTCATGTGGGTTATTATCAAAGGTATCTGTTGACAGGTGGATTATACCTACTGAATATAGATCATGTCATTGCTAAAAGCTGCCAGAAATTGATAACACACAGGTTAACATGGTGAATCATGCAATCAGAAGCAGTTAGATGAACAAACACCATCAATGTTATTATTATTATTTTTAATGATCCTTATGTGGCTTCCTGAATGTAAAGAAGTTGGAATAGGAGTTTTGTGGTAGGCAAATGACAATTTGCTTAAAGCTTTGCTCTCTTTTAATTTATTTTTAACAGGGGTGGTATTCATGACAGGCAAAGTCTATGCGGTGGGAGGTTTCAATGGCTCTTTGCGAGTTCGGACGGTCGATGTGTATGATGCAGTGAAAGATCAGTGGACATCTATAGCTAGCATGCAAGAAAGACGAAGCACTTTAGGAGCTGCTGTGCTCAATGAGCTCCTGTACGCTGTTGGCGGATTTGACGGAAGCACTGGTAAGCTAATGCACAAAAGGCAGCCCCAATGGAAGAATATTCAACTCTTTATTCCTAAGACTTTCTTCTGGAGAAAGTTCCTCCGTTCATAAATACAAACTTTTGGCATTCTACAGCTACTTATGTTATGCCCCCATTTATTTTAATAATGATCTCTCAGGAAAATGGATGGAGCTGAAGCCTAATTTTTAAGGATGGTTAAGTTTGGCATGCCCACGGGAAGAAAAACTAAATGTTTACTTAAGAAAATTCATTGCTTCAAATTGCCACCATAATGTAGTTAATCAGATTCTACAAAACCCCTCATTGAACTTCCCTTCCCTGTTAGGAGGTGGTTTTAGAATGCCCCATTAAGCATAGATCAATAACAAGAACTGGGATGTTGTTCTCAGGGGTGGCTTCTCACTGCAAACTCATGATGATTGCAATAGGTAAGGGTAGTGTTAATGCTTGGAAAAGAAGTTTCCTGATTAGCAAAGGAGCTCTGGCTTCTTTCCTTCCTTTTGTTTGCCTGGAAGGGAAATGATCATTATGAGATGAATTCTGTGGATAGGAAAACCCAGTGTTATATGTTTCCCCTTTTCATGTTTTCAAACTAGGTCTGGCATCTGTGGAGGCTTATAATTACAAGATCAATGAATGGTTTTTTGTGGCGCCTATGAACACAAGAAGAAGCAGTGTTGGAGTTGGAGTTGTAGAGGGTAAGGAGTCTCTGTTTTGAAGTCACTCATATTTTATTTACAGCCATGCAACATTGCGACTATCAATATCACAAAATTACATTCAACCAATTAAATGAGTCAGATGATGCTAGATGTTTTTTTCTGTAAATACATCTCTGCCTGTTCTATAAGTACAACTGTGTCTGAAAGCTTAGTTGGTCACTTTTTCCATGTTCCCATATTTTCTTATTATTAAGAGTGGCATATATTTTTTTTTATTCCCTGTTCTGGATAGAAATTAATAAATTAGAGAAGGAAAGAGTTTCTGAACTGGTTAATATGTTTCATGTAGGTAGTTCTCAATTGAAAACCATTCATTCAACAACTATTTAAAGTTACAATAGCACTGAGGGAAGCTTAAAACAGGTCCTTGAGTTTCGGCCAATTTTAAAGTGTCAGTAACTAATACACTTCCATTCTCCATTTTATAATAACAAAAATATCTGAAATGATTACTGCTTGTAGCTAGAGCTTTTAAAAAACTTCTTGCTTTGTAAGAGTTTCTCATTGCTTTGATGTTTCATTGGAAATGCCTAATAGAAGTCTGTTATACCTACTGCCACCAAATTTGTAGATCTTCAACAAATTTATGTCCACTATGTGATAATCAGATGAGCAGTGATTAAAAACTGGTTATTAAATATTCACCATATATTTTCCTTTAATTGATCCTGTTGATGACTGATGCTGAAATTCTAGGTAAACTGTACGCTGTTGGTGGATACGATGGAGCATCACGTCAGTGCCTTAGTACTGTGGAGCAGTATAATCCAGCTACAAATGAATGGTCTTATGTTTCCGATATGAGTACTCGGCGCAGTGGTGCAGGTATTCTATCCCAAATCATCATTATTTATTTATTTAAAGTATTAGACTTCTGCAGCATATGCCAATATTTCTTTTTACGTTTTTTTTCTCAGTTCTTTATGTCAGCCTCCTTATGATCAGGTTGATAGGCATTCAGGTCAAAGCAAATAGCCTCATAATGGGCTGGAGTAGATAAATATGGACCATCTAAAGAAAAGTATTGACTAACAAGTTGGGATGTTCAGTGGATATAGTTCTATAAACTTCTGTCAAATTAATAATAATAATAATGATTATTGATGACTAACCTGAAGTCTACTTCAGATTGACAATTCAGTCTAGACCAGGGGTGTCAAACTGCCGGCCTGTGGGCTGGACGCGTCATCAGGAAACCGCACCCACCCCATTGCCGGCAATGGAGAAAAGGCTCCAATACATTGCGTCGCGAGTTTGACATGTCTGGTCTAGACAGTATTAGGTTCCGGTAGCAGCCAAGATTGAAATATTGACATTAGATATGGAATATTTACAGCTACAGCAATTCCTTTTCACAAATGCCCTTACAGATATCATGAACATGATTAGAACATAGAAGCAACTGGGTACTTGCCTCATGGCTAAGGCTGCTTCCAGAGAGTTTATTTTTTTTATGTTATCTTCACTTTCCATGGTATACATAATGAAATGGATTACTAAGGGGAAACCTCTTGTTTGGCCACTGTGAGAAGCACAGCAGTTACTGGCTATAACATCTCTTAACAGTTAAAAATAGTTTTAAAAAAAGACAGGTTGTCACGCTGTTTTGCCTCTTAGTTCCTCCCAGATTGGAAACTTTGGCCCACTTTTGAGAGGGTTTCGGCAAGGGTTAAAGCTGCTACCTCATCCTTTCAAATGCCTAAAATGGCCCCCAAAGAAAGAAATAAAAGAAAAAAGAGCCTAGAAATGTCAATTCCTGGAGGCTGGAAAAGGGTGCTAGGTAGCCTCAATTTTCCTCCCCATTCCAGGCCAATTTTGTCATCCTTTCAATATGGATTAGACTAGAAAACCAAAGTTATGAATGCTAACACTATTTTTTATTATAAGGGTACAATTACAGAATCTTGCAAGCCTATATGTGCTCCCCTCTCCCTTATCTTTTTTTTTTTTTTTTAGAAAATTTTATTTATTTTTTCCATCATAAAAAAACAGTCATAGGTAAGCATAATCAACAGCCTCTCCCTTATCTTTATGAGAACTAGAGAGCGTTAAATCAGATGCTTTCTCAGATTACATTTTTGCCGTGCACTCAGATTTTTTTTTTATCTGACCATTGTTTGATTGTGGCTCTTCCTCCTGTTCCTCATGGTTATTGTTTCTGCCTCTTACAAACTCTTAATTTTATGTAATAGCTACCCCAATCGATACTGTACTGTTTAGTGCTCTTGTCGGGGCTATGCTGTTGGCATGACAATTTATTATCCCTGACAGGAAGTTGATTTACAATAGACCTTAAGCTCCCTGTTTGGCTTTTTAGGGGTTGGTGTTCTTAGCGGCCAGCTATTTGCCACTGGAGGGCATGATGGTCCTTTGGTGAGGAAAAGCGTGGAAGTATATGATCCTGGAACAAATACATGGAAACAAGTAGCAGATATGAATATGTGTAGAAGAAATGCAGGTATTTCCCTCCAAAATTTCTAGATCACTATTCAGGTATAAACAAAGCAATTAAGGGAAATATTAATACCAAGGATATGCAATAATAAATGTGTGCGCCTTTAAAGCTGTATAGCATTTTTAATGACCTTAGCAATAAAAAGGTCATAATGTCTTATTTTAAATTAATGTTTGATTAAGTCTACATTAAGTCCAGCAGATTTGAAAATATTTGTAAAAGCAGTGTCAAATAAGGGAGTCTTCTATGCATCTGTAACTTAGTGGGCAACCAAGGGGTTAGGAATCCAACAAGAGACCTGATTTGCAGGACATTTAATACATTTTTAATTACAGGTTTCTATATCTTGGATTTGTAAAGAAATATGTTAAAATAGAAAGACAGAGAGAATATTAAAATATGTAAATATCACACTTTAAAAACCTTAGGATAGTCTGCAAGAAGTACAACTTAAATAGTGATAGAACTATGGAATTTACAGTAAAATGTAATTTAAAAGCACATGTACAGAGTTTGGTAAGAGAAGGGATAAAACTATAAGAATTAATAAATTTATTTTAAAGGATTTCTAGATATCTGAAATTTGACACTTTTTGTCCTGTGAAGCTCATCATTTGCTAGGCCTAAGAACAAGCATTTTAAATAGGGTGTACTTATTTATTTTTAATTAATTAAATATTAAACTTAAGGGGTATATAGTTCAATTCATACTTATTGCAGAATGCCATCATGGATGCCATGATTAACAAATGAGTAATATGTGGGGCTTCATTCTGTGTTTATTTAATTCAATTTCAAGACTGTTTCAAACCTATTCCTTACTAACTCTGGGCAGTTTAGTTAGAAGAGGGAAAAATATAAAGGCTTTTGTTAATAGTTTGTTATTTTATTTCAGTGTTCCACTTATGAATAATTATAATTGTTATTGAGGTCTCATAGCTAACAATAATTTTTAGATCCATTTTTCATTTTTATTATTTTTCATTTTCATTTTTATTATGGATTACAAACACAACTATTAGTTGTCATCATTTGTTATGCCTGCGGGTTGGTTGGCTTTTCACAAATAATGTTTTCTTAATGATTAGAAAAAAAGCAAAAAAAAGAAAGAAAGATGCAAGCAGAAACCACTAGTATGACTGACAGAATGTGTGTAATTTCAGTAAATTGTGGAATAAAAGGTGTTAATAATAAAAATCAATATTAAATTTGCCTTTCTGTCTTGCCATGACAGCAGCTATAAAAATTAGGACTTCTGCCGTACTGTTTTTGTTCTCTCTGTAGGTGTGTGTGCAGTGAATGGACTTCTTTATGTGGTTGGGGGAGATGATGGCTCTTGCAATTTGGCCTCTGTAGAATATTATAATCCTGTCACTGACAAATGGACACTATTACCAAACAACATGAGCACTGGAAGAAGTTATGCAGGTAAGCAGTGCATTGGTTTAGACTGGCATAGAATGACAGACAAATTGATTATATGTTGTTTAACTTCCTGCTATGGCTCTTGTTGATGATTGCTGATCATTTTCTTGACTGAATCGGATAGAATCCCAGATCTTTGCTACATGTTTGTGTTTTCATTAGATTTACCCATTGGCAATTTAGCATTGTGCCATTGGCATATACGTAACTATGTAATCTCCACTTCAGGTATATTGAATATTAAATTGTTCTGGGTAGCCTTAGAATTTATATGCTTAAACTTTCAATGGCACTCACAACTTTAACTGAGCAGAATGATACCGCATAGGGCACCAATTTTTGAACCAAGGTATTTCAGATAGGCTAATTTACAGCCTCTAAAATCTGGGACTCATGATTCTTGAGGGAATGAAATATGGGAAAGTAGTGGCTCCTTCAGTTCTACTGGCTGCTGCAGTCATGTGATCTTCATTTTCAACATTAAGTGGCAGTTTCCCAGCCAGTCCCTCAATCCCTCTTTCCTCCCCCAAACAGCAGCAGGCATTTACCAATCCACTAGAAAAGGAAGGAGAGAGAAACAGGGAGGAAGGAACACCTGCACACACTTCCCAGCCCATGCCACCTTCTTGTGCACTTCCCCAACCTGTGCCAGCCCTGATCCATGCCATCCCCACACACTATCCCTGACCCCATGTACCTCCCCAGACCCATGTGGCACCTCTTATGTATCCCCACAAACGCTCCCCCCCATGCCTGTCCTATATGCCTTCCCTGACGTATGCAGCACCTCTTGGGTACACCCATACACCTTTCCCAACTCACATGACATCTCTTGTGCACCCCCACATACCATGTCTTACTTGAATGCGCCCCACATACTCTCTCTCCCCCCTCATTGAGCAATAGCCACTTTCCTGCTTGCTGGCCTTGGGAATTGCAACTTCCTGCTGGCCTCCTCATAGGCTTTCTTCCTGCAAGCTTCCCACAAGTAAAATAAATGTGAGGTTGGCAGGAATTGGAGGGAGGGAGAGAAGGAGATTTATGTTGTACGCTGCCAGCTTCCCACAGGGAATGGGGAAGTTGGCAGGAAGCTGGAATTCGTTCCTATTCCTGCTGCATTTTTGCCCACCCATGGTCATTCTGTTTCTCTGTTTAAGTAAGGAAATATCTCTGAAACAATGGCCCAACAGGAAATGGGTTGCCTAAGTGTTTTAATAAAGATTGAAGTAGCCTTTAGTAAGAGTCAGAATAAATTTACAATATATTAGTTCTTTCACAGTCTCACCTGGTTCTTATGGGAAATCTTGAAGATTCTCTCTCTCTCTCAAAATAGATAGAAGGGAGAGACCATTAAGACAGGCTTTGGAAAATGCATAAGAAACTTGGGATAAATAAGGGATCTGTTAACTTTTCAAGTCCTAATGGCAATCCTTATGGAAGAGGCCCTATCAGAGCACATGGCCTATACCATCTGACCTATAATTATCCAGTAATATTAATTAAGAAGAGCCCAGTTGAAGTCTACTAAATAAAATGACAAGCCAAACTATAGCTTTGACTTTCAACAGTTCAGTTTTTGTGTCAGAATGTATTAGTGACACATCTAGGAGTAAAATAAAAGACATCAGAAAAAGACTGCCCTTTTTCATAGGGAATGAAGTTAGAATAAAGGCCTAAAGGCTACCTCCGAGACCGCCTTCTGCCACAGATTCCCTCCCATAGACCGGTACGCTCCCACAGAGCGGGCCTCCTCAGGGTGCCGTCGGCCAAGCAATGTAGGCTGGCGACCCCCAGGGGGAGGGCCTACTCTGTGGGTGCCCCCACCCTCTGGAATGAACTACCCCCCGAGATCCGGATGATTCCGGATCTCCTTACTTNTTAATTGGAAACACAGCTTGTAATATTTGGTTTTAATTCGGCTTTTATCGGGGTTTATTTTCTGTATTTTTGTATTTTGTAATTTTTTGTATTTTGTGTTTATTATTTGTTTTTAATATGCTGTGAACCGCCCTGAGTCCTATGGGAGAAGGGCGGTATACAAATTAAAATAATAAATAAATAAATAAATAAATAAAAAAGAGATCTTTAAAAAGACTGTAGTTTTTCAAGGGGGATGAAGTTAAATAAAGCTCTAATTGTACCCCATGCAGTAATTACATGACAGCAATTGGAATGAATAATAATTTGATGGCAGCTGGAATAAAATTCTCTCCCTGCAATCCACTAAAATTGCTGGGATGCCTTTGGGGTCACGGAGAAGGTGTAATTCATTATAGAGGCTTGAAAAATATCTCCCACAATTTTTAAAAACATCTCACCTGCTTAATGTCTTTAGACACAATGAAAAGTGTATCTAGAATAATTTACCATTCAGGTCTGTCACTAACATATGGTGGAGATGTTTTTCAAGCCTTTACAATGGAATTAGAACTTCTCCATGACCCCAAAAGATCATATTTTTCTATTTTTATTAAAATGCAAATTCTTAATTAAAACACAGTGTATTTTTTCTTAGCAGTAACAGTATAATAGAGTTGGCAGGGACCTTGGCTGCCCCAACCCAGCAGCATAGCCCAAAGGGGATTCGTGGTGCACCATAGCTATGGGGCTGCCAGAAGCCCCCGAGCTGCAATGAAAAGGCTGGTTCTGCCCAGTTCAAAACTGCACCCGGCCCGGGGAAGCCACAGCTGCCACAGCCCAGCTGCAGTCTACATTGCCACCCTGCACTCGGAGGCCCCTGCTGCCCTACAGTCTGCCACCCCAGCTGACTTTCAGAGTCTTTTTATTCCTGCTGCTGCATGCCTGGCCTGGTCTTTCACAAGGCAACTCTGGCCACACGAGGCCATCTTTCCCAGGTTTCATAAGGAAAACACCATGCATGATCTGGAGAAAAAAGCCTCCTGTGGCCAGAAAGGCCAGGCCGAGCAAGAAGATGGTGAAGATTGGCTAAGGTAACAGGGCCTGCGGTGTGCAAGCAGCCAAAAGGGCATAGATGGCGGGAGAGAGGGGGATAGAGGGAGTTGAAGAATACAAATTCGTGAAGGGTTAGTGTTAGGGATAGGATTAGTGTGGGTGGGCTTCCAAGCACCTGAATTTTGATCACTGCAACAGCCATAATTTCAGGGACTGGTTTGTTAGCACTGCCGTAATTTTGACAGATCATTGAACAAATGTCTAGGACTACTTATATGGTTGTTTTCGTCGTTTTTCATTTATCATTTTTATAACCAAACAATCTATTTCTTAAAGGAAGCGAGCTAGCAATTTCTAGCAATTACTCAGTGATTAATTTAAAAACGGTGACAATTTTTGTTAATTGCTTCAGGACAGTACAATATTATGCTTTCAGTCAATAATACTATAGCTCCCATCAGTGGTATACATGTGGCAGAATAATACGTCTGTTTGGAATCTATCTTTCTGCAACAATGATAAGCAAAGGAGACTTCATTTGTGAAAGACTCACTAGTTGAAGAGTCGAGATCTTGAAGTGAAAATTAGTCTCTAATCAGCTTGAATGGAATGCATTGAATACAAATTTCCTATCTCTCTTGCAGGTGTAGCTGTGATCCATAAACCATTGTGACACCTATTTGTGTGAATGCAACGCAAGAAATGATGTCCATCTAGCTTGAGGTGTTTTAGAAGAAACGGGGGATTTTTAATTGCCATACTAACACTTCTAGCCTGACAAGCATATATACTAAGAACATCCCTTTCTGTTCAACATGCCACTGCTGGGAACAAATTCCAGAAATAAGGTGTTGCTTATTTTGTGGGTGTTCTGTTCTGTCATTGTGTGAGCTGTTTTATGTACAGCCCGGATTGAGATTGAAGTGAATTTCTCAAGAAAAAGGATATGTTTCTCTACAGCTTGTGACTGGGAGAAACTTTTTTAAAAGAATTCTTTACTACTGACAGTGAATTGAGCATTAGATATAATTTTTTACTTGGTTATAAGTACTTAATTACACCCACAGAAACTAGAAATTTCAAAATACCCATAAAAACTCTCTGGGAAGCAGGCCCGAAGTTTATTTGCTGTATTGTGTCCAATCTGTGTACATATCCTACTTAACTACTGTAAATGTATAATTTTGGGTGCTGGAAGTATCCGCTGTATGATTTTTCTCTTGAGGAAAAACCCAAATTCATCAAATTGGCTTGATGAGCCAAATAGTATGTTTCTCTGAAGTTCAAATGCCCAAACACCAGAGACACCACTGAAATGTTGAGAGAGACCTACTGCTTTTTGAACAGACATTTTTCTTCAAGGTTGACTTTTTAATGGAATGATGGGGGAATGTAATATATTTGTTGGCAACAACTGAAAAAGCAATCAGAAAAAGCAAGCTGGACCTGCAGTCTGTTTTTGGTACTGTGATATTGCTTCATCTTCAACAGTGTAGAATGATGGAAATATGCCACCAAATTCCAGCGAACTTTGCAACTTTTATGATGATTTGGGGATTTCAGGTGGGACCATAAGCCACTTCAGGAACAGAAGCAGTAATGTGCCAGGATGATAAGGTACTACCAAGTACAAGGGCAGAGGGAATTTAGGGCGAGGTTTTCTGTGGAAATGCATCTTCAGAAGACCAAATGGGATATCAAGAAGACTGGAACATTCATCTAGGAAATCCCAGCTAAGCTTTGATTAGAAGGAACTGGATTCCTGCATATACTTCTCATGCATTTGACCATACATCATCAATTGCCCAAGATATTTAGAACTTTTACATGTCTTCCACTTCATCATTTAATTCTTCCAGCTAGAGCTATCCTTCTAAATGTTATCCATACTTTTACTGTTCTATGTGTAAAAAAAAGTTATTTGGAATTAATTTATTCTAAAAAGGAAAGGTAAGTGACTTTTCAGAATAGGGAAAATATCCAGCTATACAACTTGATCTGTATCCGATCCCATTCTAGCTATTTTTTTTAAAAAAAATCAAAATTATCATCACATGGAAAATGATTCTGTTACTAAAAATATATTAGGTATTTACTTCCAATTTTTCAGTCAGCTAATATTCCCCAAAGCACTATTTCCCTATTTTCCACTATATTTTTCTTGAATACATTTTCTGTTTTATTTTGATTTAAGAAAAGCATTTAACTCATTTGTCTTTCAGTTTTTCTGTCACTTAAAGCAACTCTGAAACATTAGTGAAGCAGAAAATGCAATTGAACATAATTTTCAGTAGGTGTTTCTAAAGGCAAGACTGGATTATTTTTTATAAGGTATTTCTTCTTTTAAAAAACTCTCTACATCTTAGAGTTACTTTTTGTATATTGGAAGAAAGGGTATAGTATCAAAGGGTAAGAATGCACATAGAACAACCCTAGCTGTTGTTTAAAACTCTTTGAGCAGTAAACTGATTATTGTCTGTTTAACACATACTTTAAGGTAGAATATATAGCATTTTCTTCATTTGAGTTTTCTTCCTTTTTACTAAGGTAGCCTGTCACTAAGAAATTGTTTTTCCGAAGTTGGGAACAAATACATTGCATCAATTGCATTTTCTATACAGAGTTTGAGGGTTAATGAAATACAGCTTCCTTTTCTCCACATAGGAGTTCCATCCAGAGTCACTGAATATGGATCTCCTGTGGCAAATCTCTAGTCTTTCTGAGGAAGATTTGGGAATATTGTGGAGATTTTGACAGGGCTTAGCCAGGCCTGGCTTGGATGTTTATTGCTGAGCAATAATGAGTTGAGTTGACATAGGTTAACTGAAAGCAAATAAGTTATATCCTACCTGAAAATTAAATGTGAACTAGGACTTTGCATGTGATGGTAGTAAATAACATTCAATGCTTTATAAACAAATAGACATGGAACAGGATTTAAACTTCATATTTTCCCCTCACTGCCCACACAAACCTCCCTAGAAGATCTATTGGACATCATAATTTTTGCTCAAAAATCTCTAGGATGTTGTCTGAGTACAAATCCGGCCGTCCCCACTGGGCAAACATCTGGGTATGATTCTGTTAATCCTGCCTGTAGCACATGTGAATTACTCAACAGGTGGAAAATGCTTCCAATAATCTGCACGTGAAGACCACAGTATGTAAACCAGTCAAATCTTTGAAATAACAATGAGATTTTTTTTCTTTGTTTTTGCTCTATGATGCTAATTGAGGCATTTGTGCAGTAGTAAGAGGCCATATTTACCTCATTTGATGATGCAAGTATTTCTACAAATGTATATGCATTAAAATCCAATTTCTTATCAAAGCTATATGCATGCTACATTCCACCACTGATAGGCAATGTATTTTGCTGTCTATAAAGTGGCCCCTATGTTTGCATGTGACAAGCTGCTGCTGGTGGTGGTGGGGAGGAATTAGAAACACGTATGCTGGCTGTTCATAAATGGCATTGGTTTCAACTAAGAGCCACTTATCACTAGCAAATGGTATGTGTCACTCTTCTGTGGGTAAACTTGCAGGGTTAATGCAAGTCAAGTGACCTCATTTCTCAGCTATGCAATATTAATAATTGTGACACAACAACCAGCTGCAATTGCCCTTTCAAAGCGCGTTTGAAATAACTTTCATTTGCACCATGCCAATTCTGAGCCGCAGCTTTTCAAAGATTGCCTTTTTATAGGGCTTGAAAATACAGTTTTAGAGCTGGCAAATTCAAATGTAATTATTTTTGTAAGATAATTCTTAATGAGTTCTTGGATCTCTTTTGATGTTGGTGGCAATTATGATTAGTGTCTAATCCTTACACCATGGGCCCAATTCTCATCAGCCATTTATTTATGATGGCTTATGGAAAGGACACAATCCTCCTCAATGTTAATTAACAGTGGACTGTTACCTCTGTATTAATAAGATTTTGAACCAAGGCACATAGCTATGCCTGCTTGTTTATTGGCTTTTTTTTTTTAAATGGACATAATTTGTTGGCTTCATCTTGTATGTCAGGATTGCTTTATTTTTCTCTTTGGTTCTCTAGTAACAATGTGCTCTGCAGTTAAATGCTAGAGACAAATTTAGAAGTAAAGTTTCTTTCCAAGAGGGCTTTGAGAGAGCTAATCTTGTTCAAATATTACCGACTGAAGCTGTTTTATGATCTCCTGTCCAAAAACTGACTCATTTGATTGTGAAATGATCTTCCATAAAACTTGGGTTATAGATGAAAAACTTAAAAGCCAAATGCAAAAGACTGTTTTTACGTCTGTGCTCAACATATGCTCCTAAACACAGTGCAGATTTTCCTTTTTGGAAGCTTCTGCTATATATTTTCCCTCCCCCAGTACTTTAAAGGAAATCTGTATATGCCAACTTAATTGGCATGGACACACTATTTCCTCTTTAGTTTTTCCATTTTGGTTGCTGTTCTAGTTTCATTAGGTGATACATAAATGGGGTGCAAAAATCCAGAGTTTTCTGTGTGTCTCTGTTGCCATCTAGTTGCTGCCTGGATTTTTTTTTTTAACCAGAGATCAATGAACAGCCCAATTCCACTGATGTTTCAAACTTAAGAACATTCAGCAATTTAGAGGTTTGCAAGCAGTGAGCTCATTGGACCAGCTTATGTCTATATGTTAAAGCACAAAGTACTACTGTATTTAAAATGAATTCAGAAGCAAGTGCTGTATTTATGTGGCATCTGTAAACGGAGCTAGTTTCTCTGGCCTAGTATTACAAATTAGCTGCTAGTTTTATTTGAATTTGGGTATAAATTGGCTTAGATCAGGGGTGTCAAACTGCCAGCCCGCGGGCCGGATGCATCATAGCGAAACCACGCCCACCCCATTGCCGGCAATGTCAAAAAAGTCATGATACGTCACGACACGTCACGTGACGCTACGAGTTTGACACCCCTGGCTTAGATAAATCTCAGACAGGTTAAGTGAATTGCATTTGTATGTAACTAGCTTTAGCCAGATTCTGTTATATAGATATTCAGTAGACCCTGAATAACACTGCATGATTAAGCAGTGAAAAGGGAATTATTTTTATTTTTTTGCACTATATATATACTGAAGACTTGGGATATTATATTATTTACCTTTTCAATAAAATGAATGCACGTGTCCACTACTTTAATGAGCTTGTTTCCTATTTATGGGTAGGAAACAAGACTTACTTGAAGGCACTGAAAAATAATTTAAAAAAAAAACCCTTTTAAAAGAATTCACATTTGGAACATAACTCAAATTAACAGATTGGGGTAATATAAAGGGGCAGGTCACCAGTAGCTCTTGCACAATATTTGTTTCTGAAAACACGAAATGATTACTTTTTTTGTTGAATTTCAGGCATTCAGAGATTGTCTTTTGCAATCCAGTTTCCAACTGGATTCCATAGTTTGTTCCTAAATTATCACTCCAAATTAGAGTTTAATCCTGGATTATGGATAGATGATGTTGCCATGCAAAATCAGGAGGGAGCCAGCCTGTAAGATGCTGCTGGTGCTTATAATGGTTTGGTTAAGGATGACATCTGAATGTGCTTAATATGTGATAAGTACATAAAGATAAGAATCCAAAACACTCTTTCTTCCCAATAGCCAAAATTATTTTTCTGTGTGGTAGAAATAAATGCTAACAGGTTTAATTTATA